TGAGTCCATGTTAAACTGATGCCTTCATCGAGCACAAACGGGGTTTGAACTTGATTTGAGCAGAGAACCTGGGAATGTCGAGCAGAGAGGGCTTTCTTCCTTTCACAGCTACTGGGCGAAAAATTCAGAATAGTTGCAGTCGTTTAGTTTTGAAAGCACATCGTGCAGGCCACAGGAAGTCTTGGAAATCTGAATAGCCTCTTATTCAGGAGAGCGCAGGTCTTCTAAAGTCAGTCAGAAAGAGCTAAGAGCGACATGTCGCTCATAGGTGGGACATAAAAACTGAAAGCAACAAATGAACAGACAAGAAAGACAAACAAACACTGATGGACACAGAGAGCAGCACGGTGGTTACCAGCGGGAAGGGAGAGTAAAGAGTAAAGGGTAGAGGGGCCAAATATATGGTGATGGAAGAAGATTTGACTTTGGATGGTGAGCCCACGATGCAATACACAGATCACGTGTCATAGAAATGTACACTTGAAACTTATGTAATCTTATTAACTGTCACCTCAATAAATTTGATTAAAAAAATAAAATAAAGGGCTCCATGGGGGGCAATAATTTAAAACGCTAAAAAATGCTTCTCTAAATAATTATTGTTACTTGAGCGGCATTTGCTAGTTTTAATCCAGTACATTGAGTCCTTTTGTTTAGCATAATTCTACTCAAGGATGAGCATTTGAGACTCAGTTTTGCATTATTGCTTGCTGTGTCTCTGGTGTTGTATTGACTTTAGGAAAGCATATCTGAACAGAAAAATGGAAATATTCCCATTACTCAGAGAAATGGTATTTTAAATGTAAAACTTATATTTCATGTGAGGACTACAGGCTATTCCAAAAGGATGTATCATCAGTCCTCAAAGCAATCTACCTTATAGAGAAACACGGAAAAGCATCTCGTGGTCCCCTAACGTCTCTCCATGGGGGTAACAATTAGTTGCTCTAACTCAGGTCCAGGAATCCTAATCTTTGAGTAGCAGGCGACATCTGAGGAGGCGTTTCTGTGATGATCATGGTTCTAAGGTGAGAATTTGGTTGCTCAGGAAGCTTCTATGACCTGGTAGGTACCCCGGTACCTAAAGATCTGGTGAGCTAGACACTCAGTTAAGGTTAATACAGAATCAGCACTGGCCTTGGCATCCCTCTCATCCACTGCCCCTCTCACCTCTCCAGCTGAGAATATCTGTCGGACAACCATTCTTCCCGGGAAATGTGCTGGTCCTGATACTCGTTCGAAAGAGCATCCGCCTTTTCTAAAATGCCAAGGTGATGCTACATTGACAGCGGGAGTGTGTCTCCTGCTCTAGCAAGTTCAGGGAGAAAGTGATGGAATTCCGTCCTGAGTGGCTGCACACATCGCCACAGCACCTGTCTTCCTAATGACTTGAACACGCCTGTGTCTGTGCTCTGGGGATCCAGATTTTTCATTTTAAGATAGAATTCTCTTCTGAAACTATTGCTGCGAGGGACCAAATTTCTCCACCTGCCAGTCTATTTTCTGAAGGCATTGGGCACTTTAGATTCATTATATGCTCTTTTAGAAACAACTGGATCCACCTCCATCTGTGTCTAACAGAAAAATGAATACACTGAAAAATACGGATCAGAATTTTTACAGTATTACCCATAAGATTAATGTAGTTTAAGGCAGTTGACCCGGTTTTGCTTGAGTGGGTTGAGTTTGTTTAGACTCGATATACTCCCTGAGACGCAGGGAAATGCACGTGAATTACATTCCATGCTTTAACCTCATGAACTCAAAAGAGCATGTTTTCCCCCCCTCAATTTTTATGACATTATGTGCCCCTGATTTTCCTCCTATCCTGTGCCCACTTCTTTCTCTTTAATTGAATCAGCTTTTTAACTCATCCCTTAAATGCTGCTGATCTTCAGATTGTCTCTTCTCTTCCCCTCTACAAAACCTTCCCAGGTAACCCTGTTCGCTCTGATGGCTCTAGCTAGTCTCTCTCTGTTATAGCTCCCGACCAGCTGTGTGTCCTGAATACCAAGCCTGACTTAACTACCAATTGTGATCTCAACTCATGTTTCTCAAAGTTATCTCAAAATCAGTATGTCTCAGACTGAAGTTGGCACAACCACTGGAAAGCCTCCACTCCTGTCTCTCCAAGAGCAGTGAGTGAAGTTTAGCTGCCAGAACACTGCTAGAAATCTAGGCATCATTCATGGCCAGTCTCTCCATCTACATCCAACCCCACACCAATCAAATGTCATTTTCTCTCCTCGGTTCTTTTCAAAGAGATCTATTGCTGCCACTGAAATCGAAGGTCTTACTGTCTCTGGTCTAGATTCCTTCAGCAGCTCCCTGAGTGTAATTCCTGCTCCGTGTGTCCCCTTTCTCACTCGTTTGTTTATACCGAGTGTAACTAACCTCTCCTATCACAAATCTAAGCATATTATTTTCATGTTAACAGCTTTCAGTTGACCTAGATTTCTGATAGCCCTCTGTCATCTGGTTCTTTCTTATCTTCCCAACATCTTTAAGACTTCTTTAAGTTTTGTGATATAACTTTTTGAGATTCTTAACCATATCGTTATTTCTCCCCCCCCTTTGCTCTCTG